TATCATTCTTGGAAATTTTCATCGGCGTTGACATGCTAGGCAAATATTTTGCAGTATTGTAGAAATAACTTGCACATTTGAATCATGAAGAGGAGCTACTGCATAAAAGATAAATTTATCAGAAAATGAAAAACGTGAACAAAAGTTTTCAAGGACAAACAAAGTGAATCTTTTACAAGAGCTGTTTGGAAGCCATATATCAAAGTGGTGTTCATCGGCCTATGAGGGTCTCAATTTGGTTAACCGTAAGCCTTAAAACGCCAAAACATTAACCATTAGGTGTGAAAGTTGACAAATCTTTAACCGTAAAAACTTCTCCTGTTTTCAAGGCCATTTTGGTTTAACTGTTAGCCTTAATATCACCAAGATTGTAACCGTGAGCCGTAAAAGCCGTTACCCCATAGAGGCCCTCAACTGAGCGAAAAGGTCTCTGTGCAGTTTACATTGCTTAAAATGGCTTGAGGTGTAGATAATTTATGATTTGATAAGACAGTAAATCCACCCTAAACGGCTTGCTTAGCTGTAGATTAAAAAAAAAATTAACGCAAAAACATTCTGCCAAACGTTCTTAATAATTAATGACACTAAAATGCAAGCAGATCTAACAGGTCAAAATGAGTGTCGATGTTAAGTTATACATGTACAAGAAAGAATTGAAGTTATCATTATTAACCGTTAATGATCCATTTAAAGTTGGAATCCTCGGGGGGAATCATATCTTAGGTTGAATTTGAATATGAATACAGATTATGCGGTATATGAATATAAATGAAAACACTCAATTCAGTATCATGGTTAATAGATATAATTCTAAACATGAAATGGTGTCGATGAAGTGAAAAATCACAGAGGCTAGGGATATAAGTGCAAATAATTTAAGATAAACCCCGATTTTTCCTTCCTAGAGACTCAGACCTTAATTTTCCAATTCAAGTGCGAAGATAGTTACTTTAGTCCCCAAACAAATTAAAATAATTATCATTAATATATGTAGCACTGACAAAGCAATGTGTCCATTTCGTGCTTTTCTGTTCCGTTTTACGCTTTACATGCTATAAGGTATTTTGCAGAATGCTTTACAATAACAAGATTGAGGAGGAAAACATACCTTGAACTCCTTGATTGGGTCATCTGAATTGGTAAATTTTTGCCAAGAAGTCTCTTGATTACTGGAGATTTTGGAAAGGAAAAACGCTATTTAACGGCGTTTTGGTGCTGACATGTAAATATCACCAAATGTCAATGAGACAAGATTAGCGATGTGATATATAAAAAACAAAGGTGTAATACATAGCATTATAATGTGAAGAACAAGGTTAGTTTTCTGTTCCTTAATGATGATAGCAAAGAGGCGGCTGATCGCGTTTCAAGCACAAATTTAAAAAGAATTCACGCTTCAGGTATCTGAAGGGGAATACTTCAAATCTCTCTTCTTGCGTTCACGTTTGAAGGGGAATCTTAAGGTTTTTAAGAAATGAAAGAAAAAAATTCGTAGGTCACGTGTATTTCAGGAGGAAAATCACGCCTCACACTGGCTCATAACTTTTTTAATCATGTCAGCTGTTTCATTCACACGTCATAATAATTTAACTTACTCTTAATCACGCATCAGGTAAAAGCTCTTTACAGCAGTCTCTCAAATAAGCAACATCTCTGGAATTAGGCACTCAAACCTCGTGCCGGGCCTATCTAATTCTCATTAATCAAGTCACATTTGAATTCAACGGAAGACATTGTCGGTTGACTAAGGTGGTAGATACGTACAACTGCACTTTGGCATGGTGGCTCTCTGAGAAGATAAAACCTTTAGAGGTCAATGTATATACGAATACTTACGTTTTCCAATTACTCACAATTACCCACAAATAAACTCTTCCAATTGAACGGTAATCTGAAAATAGGAAGCGCGAACCATTGAGTTTGGATTCGGGTAAGAGTTATGTTTTATCTCTGTTTTGCAGCTAAATTTCGCACCTGCGTCGGTAAATGTCAATGTCAAAGTCTAACTCTACCACCAAAATTTCCCATTATAATTACGTTCCCGAAAAGATAATTTTCCTTTATTCAGAAAGGCGATGTTATTCATGAACTAAAATGCCTGGATGCTTGCAACATTACAAAACAGAACGTTACTTTCTTTTTTACTTTGGTGAACACAGCACTAGATCCGAACATTCGATGTTCATTCATTAACGTAAGGTGGTACGGAGGATAATTAGGTGGTTCGACAATTTGAAGAATGAAGTATCCCATGACAGATTTATGACTTCAAATTTTCACATAACTTATATTCCCCTACTTAAGTGCGCGGATGTTTACTCAAGCTCACAGACAAATGAGTTCAGAACACGATTCGTTGACGTCAGGACCTGCTGTTGCT